AGTTCACTATAGCTCTATAACGAAGTTGAAGTTCAGGACATAAAATTCGTTATATCAAGGGTTGACTGTATTATTTGGGATAAAAATCAAGCTAGAATGGTTAAATCAAGCAGTATAATGATATTTAAAGGTTAATTCCTAGCCAAGTTCAATATCATCATCTATATTTGAGTTAAATTACGCTAGAGGTTTAAATTTGATAATTTAATTTATATAGCTAAAATGGATTCATAGGTGGTCAGAAAACCTTTTTGGATATCTTTTGGATTTTTGTCCCAGAATTCTACTTTTGCCTTACTTATACATTCCATATTTTTTGCATACGGAAAAAGTTGATTTTCATTATCTAGTATACAGAAATATTTACGAATTTATTATACTGTTTTTTATGTTTATTATACGTTTTGTATAATTTTCTTATACAGATTATTTATAGGGAAGCATTTGGGAATGTTTCCAGTAAAATCACATTACAGATTATATAATTTACTATACCTCATGATTTAATTTGACTGGAAACATTCCCATTTGATACAATATCTAATAATTTAGTTGGCTGAAATATCATTTTTATTTCTTGTTTTCCTAATACAGATATAGAATGCTACTCTTGAATCTTATTATAAATTATTAATTTTGTAGTTACCATATTCGATGATATTGATGGTGATAATGATAATGATAATATAGAAGACCAAGGTATTTCTTTTGTAGATTTCAATCCAAAGTTTGATTAATGTTGAATACATAAAACTAAAGTTATATAATTTCAAATATATTTTCCTTCAATTAATATTAAGGCATCTGAAACTAAAATTGAAGACTCTTGTTTTAATATCATTTGATTTTTTAAACAACTTTATTTGGTTTTATTTGGTTTATCTTTAGCCACATAATCTGAAATAATATATTTAAATTATATATATATTAAGATTTGTAAGAAGTACAATCTGAGATTAAAGCTATTCCTACAACATTTATTTAATGAACATGTAAATCTTCTAGTTTAATGCTTAAGATCGTAGTAGAAGTTAAAATTAACAAATAATTTTATTGATTATTATTTAATTATAATTAACTAATAAAAATAATTTTTAAAACAAATAAAATTACTTATATCAATTTGATTATCAGAAGATCAAATAGCAAATTTTGAGTTTGCAATAAATAAATTTTGTCCTTTCTTTAATCTTTAAACATTGCAAGATTTTTCTTCATCAAGTTAATAAAATATTATAATATACTAGGTTTGAAATTTTTATTACTTGTTATATTACAATATACTCAGTTGTAAATCTTTCACATGATCATACAAAACGCGAAAGTCTGTAGCAAGTGTAACGAATCATGTATCGACTCAATTTTGAGCGGACATCCCGCTCAATTATTGAGTCTATTATGTGTATGCTGTCGTTACATTCTTCGGTCAAATCCGGGTTATTTACCCTCAATTTTGTTTCGGATCTTAATTCGATTGACCTGAGACCCAAAATAAATCCAATCCGTCAGGTCAAGTTCATACTTTTGTTTGACCAAGGTGATCGAATTACTTGATTTGTATTAACCCTCTATCATGCAAACTTAATTTTTAATTATATACAGTCTTTCTTAATCGTAGGAGTTATCTTACGATTACTGGTAAAGATTATCGTATTTAATTATAATTATAAATCAACTAATATTTAATTATTAAAGAGAGCTTATCTAATAGCAGGTAAAAGATGTGGCTTTAAAACAAATATGCAATTGCTTGAAATTCTGAGGTCATAAGTTGAATCTAGGTTCATTTACAACGTAAAGACAATCATTAAATTTAATTTAAATATATACATTGAACAAATTTCCTTACTTAAAGATAAGCGGATGTGTAACAAAAACATATTCTATCCTAAAATCAACGATCATCTCTTTGAATTGGATTTGTGTAATTAAATTACCTCAATCTTTACATTTGGAATTGGATTAAGGTGTTTGTGATTAAATTGGATTGTATGTGCATGAATGAATGAAACCTTACATATTGTTGACCGGAGCGAAGCGAAGGACATTATATATATTATCTTTTATGCAATAATATTAAAATCAGGAATAGATCGCTCTCTTAATTTCATATTTCAATATAATTTTTGTCACAAATTTTAATTATATACATTTTAACGAAGTATAATAATAAAAATGAATAATTTTGATCTTTTTCACAAATAGTATGCAAAACGATTCTAATGATGAGATAGTGAAAGAATTTAACTGGAATTAAAATTCGGTTATTGATCACACCCGCCCGATAATACAGATATCGTTTGGAAAATCAAAATAACGCTTTCAATTTTCACGTGGCCTAATGCGTGACGAATAACTCATGGGATTTCTTAACATAGTAAAAAACCAACTTTAACTTACACTCACCGTAATGCCACAAACAAATCAAAAAAGTATAAAAGAGAACTTGGTGTTACACCATTTGAAAGTTGCATTGGATTTGGATTTGATTTGAATTGGATTATGTGAAAATAAGATTAAAAGTTGTTGTCAATTTCACTATTATAATCAAGCTAAACGGATTAGGATTTAAAGTTGTATTTGGATTGAAATATCTTTTTTTTAACATTCAGTCCTTGTAAATAAATAGGAGTGTTTTCTCTCTTACTTCCTGTACCCAATATTTTCAATTTGTAACCAAATATAAAATTTTGGGCTAATTTCACAATGCTGCTAACATTTGAAGATCTGTTGTACAACTATTATTGTGAAGTAATTCGACACCTTCAAGAAATTAGTGAAGTTCAACAGAACGAGAATCATATACATCCTTTATCAATCGACAATTCAGCTCCAGTCTTAAATTACACGCAAGGAATTAATGGTGAAGGAATGATCGACACTTCTACTAACCAACAAGGTAAGCTTTAATCAAAAATAATTATTTTTTAATTTCTGATATTCTATAATTTGTAACCAAATATAAAATTTTGGACTAATTTCACAATGCTGCTAACATTTGAAGATCTGTTGTACAACTATTATTGTGAAGTAATTCGACACCTTCAAGAAATTAGTGAAGTTCAACAGAACGAGAATCATATACATCCTTTATCAATCGACAATTCAGCTCCAGCCTTAAATTACATGCAAGGAATTAATGATGAAGAAATGATCGACACTTCTACTAACCAACAAGGTAAGCTTTTATCAAAAATAAATAATTATTTAAATTCTGATATTCTATACCATCTAATAAAAAATCTAAAATAGCGAAACGAAAGAAAGCACCTCCATGTACATGGGAAAAAGAGCCAATTTATTTATTACTAGCATATATAAATGATAATAAAGAAAAGATTACATTGCTAAAATGTCGTGGTTATATAGCTAGTCAAGCAAAGAAGGAACTCTGGCCAGGTGCTTCCATAATGCTTAGCGAACATGGACACATTTATACCGATATACAGTGTGCGGTTAAATGGAAAAACCTTTTACAAGGATACAATGTAAATATTATTTAATTAAAACAATTTAGCCATAATAAATAAATTAAATGATTTTACTTTTTAGAACAAAACAAACCTGTTGTATATGACAAAAATTGAAGAAATTCTCAAAGGTTAGTTTCAAATTAATAATATACCATGAATTATTAGCTCCAAAAAAAATATGAGGGATACATTCAGTCTTAATTTAAAAATAATAGTTCGTGCAACAAATGGGGTAAAATAATTATGTAAAATAGTTGAAAAATAAAACAAATAGTATTAATAATAAAAAATGAAGTATTTGCCAAATTATGTGACAGATTATTATATAATCACATGTCCCGAGCTTTTTTTGATGGAGAAGATTAATATTATTGCGTGTACGTACAACCCAGCCATGTGTTTCTATATATATATAATGTGGCTAATTTTAATAAACCAACCAATCCCACGGGTGGCGTCTGTGACAAATAACTAGTGAAAAATGGGATTTCACACCCTAAAAATGACTAAGTTCCAGATTAAATAGTAAAAAATGAAACATGGTGGGTGTGACACGGGGTGACAGATATATATAAGTCACATGATCCGAGGATTTTGATGTAAAATCGGAAAATTTCACGTGATCATAATTTTCGTTCTTTCCCGACAATAATACCGATTTTGCAGATCGGTAATTTTGCATCGATGTCTCAGATAATCATAACTAGTACGACGGTACGGACTTTTAATCTTATTATAAAGCTTATATTATAAGATCAATATTGTACGGTTCTATTTCGTATTAGTCATGTGACTAACGCAATATGAATGTGGTCGAGTTTTTACTTTGGGGAAAACCAAATCGAATTTTTGTATTTTAAATTTCAATCGATTTAATAAATTATTGATGAAACAACATTCAATGAGACTAAATGCACGCATTATATATATTTTTTATAAATGCTCACTCCCAAGTATATAAAGATCATATAAAATTTCTCTCTTTAAATGCTCACCCTCTTTAAATGCACATCATTTTAAAATTTTTACTACGTTCCCAAGAGGGATTGCATTTAGAGATCTCACTGTAGATAAACAAATATTACAATAAAAAAAAATTATTTTTATTGACAAATACAAGATTATAATATAATGAATTAGTATTTTTATTATTTTTATGTAAATATTTATGCATTTTTTTTAATTAAATGAAAACGCACCGTTGAATCAATCAAAAAGTTACTCTAATCTAATAGAAATATTAAATTAATTTTTATCATAGTGTCGTATAGCGTAGCGCAACGTATCGATCTAGTATTGGACAAACGATTCTTACCGTACCGGTTTTCTGTTAATAATATCAAGCTTACATAATTATTAAAATCAATACCAAATAATAAACTTTTGCAAATAATTGATTATATTAAAGCTTTCAGTAAAATAGAATCCAAAATAATACATTTCTTAAATTGGTGACAAAATTTAAGATTTTCTAACATTTATGAATATATCGTTCAATTTTATAATAAAAGAAACTTATTTCTTGCATTTTAAATTTGGTTGTGAATAAAAAGAACATTGTCAATTGGAATTAATTTCTGTTCGCCCAAAAAGAGTCATAGTACAAAGTACATTTGTAAATACAATGTCTCCAAGAGATTGTTCATTATGTCTATCTATTACACCTAAAAACAAGTTATTTGTTTATAAAAGTTAATGAATAGAATAAAGCATTGTCTGAAATAATATTTGTAAGTAATGTTTAAGAATTTTTTGTTGATGGCGTATTATGTTTTGTAAATGATAAAGTTACATATATATAAAAAAAAACAAGTAAATCATAACACGAATACGAATAAACATCCTTGTACGTCTTAATGACGACATAAAATGACATATGAATCCTTTTAACTATGGTTATAATACAAAGGTCTCTTAGCTTAACCTTAGTAAACCTGTTTGTTTTTGATCATTTGTATCCCCAGTTTCTGTTCTGTTATAATGTCTTAATAAATTTTTTATAATAAAAAATAGATGAGATTCATTCTTTTGGTTATGAATTTCATACAATTCGTTTTTTATTGTATTGTATTGAGTCAGATTGGGTTAGATATTAAGAAAGCGAGATTTAATTACGCGTTTATCCGCGCCTTTTTTCCAAATCTCTTTTTTAAAAATAATTTGCTTAATTTACTAGTATAAATATGAGTTCGAAAGGTTATTTTCGACGCGTAGATTTTTTTTCAAATCTGCATAATTCACGTAGAATTATTACCCAAGGTAGCAAATTAAATTTTTAAAAATTATATTGAAATAGCACATTAATAAACCATAATGCAAACAAACGCTACTTATGCATATATGGCATCTTACGAACAAAACGAATCTCGATCTCCACAAACTTCAATTAATTTGTCCATGCCCAACAGCCTAGATCATACTTATGATCCTGTTATCATGTCTGGGTACTTTTTCATTGAAAATGCTTTTTTCATTTTTAATGAATTATTGCTATTACTACCATTACCAATTGAAACTGTAGCCAAATTGTTGGAAGATATTGTTGATGGGAATCAAAATGTCAATTTATTTTATTATGTTCATCCATTTACCAATAATGTCACGCTTTTTTTCCAGTGTGAACAACATCAGCAAGAAATTTATAATTTAGAGACTCAACCCTTTTCTTGTTTTACTTTTCAAAATGATTATAACCATCAAGTATTTGACTCTCGAAAAGGTAAAAATAATTTATAATAAATATTTAATATGCGTTTATAAATTTCAAGCTTTGATCGGCATTGTTTACCCGTCCCTATTTTATAAAAAAAACTTTTTTAGATAAATGTAAGTGGAAAAAAGAAAATGTAAATGCATTGCTTTCATATTTGAAAAAACATAAAGAAGAAGTCCGGCAGCTAGAAAGTCGTGGTGTTACAGCTGGTAAAATTAAAAATAATCTCTGGAAGAATGCCTTCACTGCTTTATCCGAAGAAGGCTACATTTATACCGCTGACCAATGCGCGATTAAGTGGAAAAATATAAAGCAGAATCATGTAAGTGTAAGTTTTTAATATAAAAAAGGGAATAATTTTTTTTTTAATAATTTGTAATTTTTTATTTTTTTTGAATAGAAATCACCTAAATTTCAGTATAAAGACGAATTTAAAGAAATTATTTGTGAAAAAAGAATGAGGTTCGTTTAAATTTTATTAGTTTCAATCTCCAAGTATTTAACATCATCTAAAAAAATAACTGTACTTAGTAAACGAAAGCTGGAACATGAATTTGTAAACGAAGAATATGGACAAAAAAAATCTAGGAAGGTGAAAAATCGAAAGGGAACCAAAGAGCATTATAAATAACTAATCCATATCAATGTATGTTATTATTCTTGTCAATTCAATTAATTCTGTGAAATATTTAATGTATTATATGAATTCATTAATGGAAATTTAATACATTTAAATGCTTATATGTTTATATGTAAACGCATATTTTTAGGAATCTTTAAAAATTAACCACTTATCTATTGTAAAAATGATGCTGTAACTTATTTATTTCAAATCATATATAGTAAGTTGGAAATACTTTAAATATTTATAAAAATATTGCCTGTTGTGTACCAATAAATCTAAATGTAATTAAATGTAATTGGTATATCCACTGCTATAAATATTTCGGAAAACTTATTTTGTGTAACATATAGTCACTTAAAATACCATGACGACTCAAAATAGCAATTTATGGTAATAATACTTATAAGAATAATTAATGATAAAAAAAAATTGAGAATTTATTGAATTAATTTTTTACTAAAAAAGAAATGAGGTCTAGCTATAAACCCCGGGGTCTAGAATAACAACCATGAACGATAAGGACGCTATTTTTATCTCAATCTTTAAGAACAAGGCAAAAAATGTTTAATATAGGCCATTTATACCGAAATCTCTCCTTTTGGACAAATTTTTTAGTCATCAATATAGTCTCAATTTTCCGTTAATTGTTGACCAATAGAACAAAAAATTAAACATATGGCTTATTGCTATTAGAATCACGTTACAGATCATATGATATGATTTATTATGTCCTAAATTTCTAAATTTCTTATTTGCTTATTAAATTTAAAACGTCTAAATAAACGGAATTAATAATTTTTTGAAAATATTTATAATGTTTAAGACTATTGTTTGATGGCGTTAAGTTATATTAAAAATTTAAATGAAACCTGATAATATCTAAAATATCTAAAATTAACGGTGGTGTTGCAAATAAACATCGAAAAACAATTCATGTGAAAATTTCATTATGACAATAAAAAAAAAAAAAAGATAGGCTATAGTTTTGCTCAGCTGACAACAACCCACATGATTTCATAGTTTATTACAATATTATTTATTTTTGAAAAAAAAAAAATAATAAATAATATACCTTAAAAGTATCCGAATAAACATTTGTTATTTTTTTTCATATGTTAAAAAAAAAAAGAAAAAAAAACTTTGTTTTCATTGAATGTGAATTTTGTATATTGTGAAATTTGTGGATGTATTAGATTAGATTATTAAAGATGGCGATTTAACCATAGTTACGCGTTTTCTCGCGCCTTTTTACCAAAACACTTTGTTAAGACATTTGTTAAATTGATTGCTTTTTAAATATAAATATGGATAAAAAAAAAAGCTTCCTTCGTGTGGATTTTTTATTTAAATCTTCATTAACTCTTATACCAAATTTCTTTTCAAGAAGTATATTTAATAAAGCAATAATAAAATCAATTTGTATAATGCATAACAACGCTTATAATTTATCTTGCGAATCTCACGAATCTCGTAATGTTTTACCTGTACGACATCAGTTCATGTCCAACAAATCAATTCATTTTTATGGTCATCTTGATGTGAATGAACATTATTTATTCATTTATGGTAATTCTTATATAACTTGTGAAGAATTAATACCATTAACGATTGAAACTGCGGCCAAATTGTTGGAAAATGTTGATCAAAATTTAGATGCCAACTTATTTTATTATGCTCATCAATTACCATGAAAATTTATAAAGTATCGTGTGAATTCCAATGTGAACAACAACGACGAGAATTTTCTAAGATAGATCAAGAACTTATTAAATCGGGTTTAATTCACTACTTAATGCAAGCACAATACTTTCCTTTCCAAATCGATAATAAACATCAAGCATGTGACTCTCAAAACTGTGAAGAGAAAAATCATAATGGTACAACAAAATACTTTGTGAATTAATTTGATTGTTATTGACTATTTACCTAAACGTTTTCGTAATACAATTTTTTTAGGTAAATGTAAATGGGATGAAAAATCTACCAAAGCATTGCTTTTATATTTAAAGGAACATAAAAAAGAAGTCTTGCAGCTAGAATGTCGTGGTAAAACGGCTGGTAAAGTTAGAAAGGAGCTTTGGGACGATGTCGCTACTGCAATATCTAATGAATGCTGCACTTATACCGATATCCAATGTGCGATAAAGTGGAAAAATATTAAACAGAATCATGATGTAAGGGTAAAATTTGATAGAAAAGGGATTGCATTGTATTTTAATAATTTTTTTTTATTTAGAAATCACCTAAATATCAGTACAAGGATGAAGTTGAAACAATTATTTGTGAAAATAGAATAAGGTTCGTTCCGAATTTTATTAGTTTTTTTCAATTTCCAAGTATTTAATACATCATCTAAATGAATTAACTGTTCATAGCAAACGAAAGATGGGAGGTGGAATTGATAAACGAAGAATGAGCGCTAAAAAAGCTAGAAAGTTTGGATGTTGAACAAAGAGCAATATATACAAATACCGATTTATATATTTATTTAGTTTATTTTATAAATTTTTTACACAATATTATATATGTAAATTCATTAATAATTAAAAATCTTAACAAATGGCGAAATTATAATAAATACTTGTTTATTTGTTTATATATAACAACGGACCAAATTAAAGTTTGTGACCATTTATTGTGTATGTAACCTAGTTATTTACTTGAAGCGACTTTATAAAAGAATTTTTCAAGCTCCTTGCGAAAATGATTCCTATTATTATTTCAGTTCTTAAAATTAAGTCGTAATAAGCAACGCTAATATATAAAAATCAAAATTTAAATTTAAATACGAGGACATTGGTTAATTCCTTCTTAAGGTTCTTCTCATTTCTGATGGAAATCGGAGTATTAAATACAACCTAACTCCTTCATTGATGTAAATATAAAACGCCACTCACTCCGCCCATAATTGACTTGTGTACCCAATCAAATCATTTTAAAATTGGTATTTTTAACATAAACCATTTCATTGGTGCCGTAGCATGCAATGACAACATACTCTATTATAAAATTCCTTTTCCTTCTTGATTTTGTAAAGTTCACTATAAATTCACGAGGTAAAATTAAGTTATAAATATTGCAACTGTTTATACTCAAATTGGCAATTATGGTAATATAAAAGTAGTTGGTTGGTTTTGTCAATAAAAATGGGTTAAATTTGAGGAGTTGTTTAATACTAGAATTTTTAATTATTTTAATTATTTAGCAATTTCTATAAAATTTCTTAATCATTATTATGTAGTTATATCAAGTTTTACCAGAAATTTTTTATAATGCGCATTAATTTGTGGCGCAGTTTTAACAATGAACAATGAATGGTTTTAAATTTTGGTATGGTTAGTAAACTTGACTCATCTAGGTCTAGGTATGTAATTAACAAATAATAATGAGTTGATCCTTTACCCTTTTTTTTAATAATCGCAAATGGCGCAACTGATGAACGAACTCCTCAGGGATGACGTGCCCTTTTTTCTGATACACGTAATACGTGATAAAAAAATTCATTTATCACAGCTTGGATAACGATACTAAAATTTTTATTATTTAGGCCATTTTTACAAAAGAATTTTTTAAAGTAAATTCAAAATCCTAACGGGTAAAGATAGTCATCGTTAAATTATGTATTTGTTCACTAGTGTGCACAAAATCAAAAAACAAAATTATAATTGTTACACGAAATTATAAATAAGTCTCTGTTTTTAGAATGCTAATTTTAAAGTTATTTTGTATTTTTTTTTTTTTTTTATTAAAAATAATTTTGTTTATGGCACGCGGACCTAATTGCAACGATTAAAAAGTACAAGATGATTTTGCCCAACAAACAATTTGCCTTGTAGTGAAAACATTTATAGAAGAGCACTTGTTGTATTAAAAAACTACATTGTCATTGAATTTGGAAAATAACAATCTTATTGTTTTGTTAAGAAAGGTTGATTATTACACTAAAAATTTACATCATATGATATTTACATCATAAAATGTCTTTTGGATTGGATTAAGTGACGTATTCGTTTACGCAGACAAAGAATTCAGATTTTTGTATCATAATAGCTTAAAAAACTTTTTTTTCAAGTGATTCTCCAAGTATAAGGCTAAAAAAAATTATTCAATATTTTAAACTTAACTTAACCTTTTTTAAAAAAATTAAAGCTTAATGTAATCAAACTCACATGAAAGCATGATAATTTCTTCGAGTACGTTCCGTAAATTACTATTTCAGGGACTTATGGTGGCTGTTATTCTTTGATTTGAATTGCTGAGATATTGTATTGAGTATTGTATTGGATTATTACAAAGAACTTAACCATCTTATTTTATCAACAAGATTATATTATGCTTTAAAATTATAAATACTCTACAATAAACTTTTTCGTTGTTAAAGGCTCCATCACCACCTTTGCGTAATCTTTTTTGGTATGTTCTTATTTTTTAAATTTTCACATTTTCACATCTTAATTTACAATTAATGTAATTCAAACACCAATAATTAATAACTACTTTTGTTTTAATTTTCGTATAGCAATTCAGAGTGTGTGTGTGTGTGTTAAATAGTATATAAAAGATATAAACATACGATCAAAGCATTTTTACGTGTAACATTGCAAATGAATTTCATTAACACCCCAAATGCATCTCAATCTTTACAAGTCTATGTTGTGACCAGATATAAATTTATTTGGAAAAATGATACTGTCAACTGTGAGGAAATAGTGTCGTTAACAGATGAAGCAGAAATCCGCTTAATCTATAACGATGATGATGTCCAGTTTTTTTATTTTATTCATCCATGTACCTTGAAGGTATATAAAGTAATGGGTGAGTTCCATCAAGAGCGAGGGTTTTCTATTATAGACCAAGAACAAATTAAATTGCAATTATATAAATTTTTTGACTCTCAAAATAATGGTAAATTTTCAACAAATATTTGGTGTAATTAATTAATCTTGATTTATATTAACTATTTTACAAACATTACCGTATTATTCGTATTATTATAAAAAAACACAGATAGATGCAAATGGGGGGATGAATCAACTAAAGAATTGCTTTTATATTTGTACAAATGTAGAAAAAATGTATTAAGTCTGGAAAGTCGCGGCTCTACAGCTGGAGAAGTTAGAGCGTCACTATGGTATGGAGCCTTCATTGCTTTATTATATAAAGGCTTCACATTTACTGCCGGTCAATGCGCGAATAAGTGGAAGAATATCAAGCAGAATCATAATGTAAGGTTAAAATTTGATTATAAAAAAAAAGATTTAAAATTTTTCTTTTAATAACTTGAATTTATTATTTAGAAAGCCCCTAAATTTCAATACAAATTAGAAGTTGAAAATATTCTTGGTAGGAAAAGTTAGATGTTTATAACAAAACATTTACAGCAATTTGAGTATTAGTGAAACTATTTCAAAGATTTTAAGTGAGACAAAAAAAAATTGGAAGTTTGGAAGTTCGATGGAAGGGAAGTACGGAGCATTTTTGATGCTAGGTCCGATTCAAATGTAAATAACATAAATTGTGGCAATTTAGCAGGTACTAAATAGATGTTACACAAATATTTTAAACCTGATATTAAACCATAATTTAAAGATTTTTAGGTTTTTATTTTAAGGGGTTATTTTTTTTTTTTTTTAAATCATAAAATGAAATATTTATTGATGCATTAAAATGTAATTTATAATTTAAAAATAAAAAAGGAAATGACAATGGATAATATTATGTAAATATAAAAACAGCTAGCGTATAAGAAACGATTTTGTCCGACTCGAAATTAGGGGGTAGGCCGTGACCCGCATAAGTACATATTTGATAAGTAAAACTATAAAAATGTTTCGACTTGTACCATACCAACTATACCACTTGTTAAAATGAGTATTGCTCCAATATTATAATTAATTGCGAGAATGTTTTGAGTATAGGAAATACCGGTTCGGCTCGGCTGATTGAGTACGGTACGATATTGCAGATCGGTACGATCTTTCAAATTATATAATATTATTGAGAACGATCATATATTTTGGAAAACTACCGTGTGCTGATCAAACGATTCGTACTGATTTTCCTTCTACTTAAGTTATTTTATTCATTTTTTTTTTTTTTTTAGTAATGATCTTCGATTTGAACATTGTTTAATTTTAAGACCACGTCTCTCATTTCTGGACGACGTTTAGTTTCATCATCCCAACATTCTAAAAAAAAAAAATTTTCTAATGAACAAAATATATTACTAAAATTATAATTATGCATAATAAATATATTTACCGGTATAAATTTTTTTATAATCTTCAGGTGTACCCGGTACAGGTACTTCTCTGCGACCTTGAAAATCAAAATAAGAATCATAAGGTTCATCTTTAAAAGGAGGGGTGCCACTTGATATTTCCCATAAAAGCACGCCAACACCGAAAACATCATTCTTCTTATTTGATACGTTATTTCCTCGTCTATTAAACAATTTTGGATCATTGTAAGGCATATTACTCAATTCTTTGGATACTTCCTTTGTTTGTCCAAAATCAACCAATTTGATACTATTTTGATGTATCAAAATGTTTTGAGAGTTCTATATACATAGACCAATATATAGGGTATTAAATTAGTATTTAACTTTTAAAAAATTTTTAACAATGAAAATCAGTCATACATTACCAAATCGCCATGCACAATTCCTTCATCATGCAAACATGTTATTGAACTGGCTAATTGAGAACCCAAGGAAATTTTATCGACCCATTTGAGACTTTGAAATTTATCTTTCAAAAGTTCTCTAAGAGTTCCACCATCGGCATGCCCGAATACTAATGAGTATTGGTTAAACCGATTTCCTAATTTTAAAATAAAAATGACATTAAGCATTACAAAAACTGATTATTTTAAATTTATCTCTTTTTATTTTTATCGTACCTTGTTCGACAGATGTAACACCATAACAGCGTATGATGTTGTCATGATAATCAACTTCACGATGAAGTTTAAGCTAAAGGTAGATCAATTAAATGTGTATGTTACTGATTCTCAATTGAAAACAGAAAATTTTCATTGATATTATCTAATTACCTCATGTACGAGTTTAGAAATGCTACATGTTTTCAGTTCGAAAATTTTTTCATATTTCTTCCACTTTGCAAGAGATACTTTACCAGATTTTCCCTCAAACTCTTGCAAATATGTAAAATTTTTGTTTTCGAAAATTTTAATGCCTTCGATCCATTTTTTACACATAGCTACAAACTGTTATTCGACTATTCGTATTTACTTAAAAAAAAACCTAATCAACATAGGCTAGGTTAGTGGATAATATATTTATGAGTAAACTAGATACGTCCGGGTAACTTGAAAATTCATTTTCACATTTATATGAATCTTTGATTTAACTTGATTTCTTCATTTGGTTATTTCAAAAAAGAATAAAAAGAATAATAATCCTGACTTTGATAGAGTCACGCATAGAGGCGAAATACACGAATCGACTAATTATTAAGAAAGGGAGCGGAGTATGTCACGTGTGTTTTCCATCTAGAAATTAACGTTTAATGTTGTTAGGTTATGTTAGGTTAAGACTATTTAGTATAAAAAATATACTCATAATTTAACGTGAATTACTCCACTCATCTGTATCACCTAAATATTTTGATATTATATAAAGATGTAAAATTCCTCATTCTATCGGAAAAAGTATCTTTTATATTAAAGAGTGACTTTTTTTAGTCTAATTAAAATATTATAATAAAAAAGTTAAAACTGCATCAAATATTTATAATAATAAGTAGTATATGGATTTTGAAACCTTGACGGGTCGCAGATTTAATTCTTGAAACGTGTATAATATTAAAAAAAGGGTATGTTTTTCCTGTTCTGGGGGTATAGACACATATCGTGTATTTATCACGTGAAACTTCTTGTCCGAATCATAGCGGAGGACATTTTACTTCTAGGTCATTCAAATGCAAGGTCGTTCTGTCCGTCCAAATTTGGCAAGCCTGATAACCAATGACATGTTGTTTACGTAATCACGTGTTATGTCTTTTGTGTTACAAAATAATTAATCATGTGAAATATGATAATGTAATTTATATACCATACCATGCTTCGGACTTTGAACGGATCCCGTTCCCTAGTTTTAAAACAATCTATGGTAAAGAATATGTGGAAGTTTGCATTAAAGTTCTGATTACTATATCCCTTTAACCCATAATTATTTAAGTGATCATGTTTTATATTTATAAAAAATTCCGCATCCATTATTTATATATTTTCATCATGCACGCAAACATCATGTTTCTTTTGAAGCAATTATTATTTATTTGACAAATATTTATTTTAATCAATGATTTATATAGTAAAATTAAATTTCTATTCGTCAAATAATTATGTTTATTTCTTTTTCAGGATTTTAATAAAACGTAACTAATTTATCATTAAATTTTCTGTTTTGTAAGTTTGGCTTCGTTATATAGATTGGTTGGTTGGATTGATTACTCATGTTTTTTCGTCTTGGTAATTTTAAAGCCGGAGCAAAAAAATGAACCAATATTTGTTTCTTGATTATAAAAAAAAAGTAAAAGGTAATCCATTAGAAACTAAATTCGCAAAAGTAAAACTTCAAAAAATGCAATACTGTATAACAAAATTTTTAGATAGAAATTATCGTACTCGTTATACATAAAGTGCGCTGTTACATATACGTCATAATTATCAAGGATTGTACCCATGATTTAATGATGCGGTGAAATTCTGGTATGGTTACAGTTAATTCTTGTTAGACATATATTTTTGGTCGGATTTCTTGTTTTTAAATCCTATTTGTTAATCTTGGTAGAATATTGATATTTCAATTTAAACGAACATAATTCCGTTTAAAACAAACAGCTTTTTTTTATTATAATATTTGACTATGATTTACATTATTATAACATTACTCCGAACAATTATAATATTGTTTGATCTTTGATGTTTGAGAATACTAAACTCTGAATTCTACAGAGGAATTTTTTCCCCCCCTTTTTATATAGAATTTCAATAATTTTTATTTCGTAATAATTGTTCTCCTTTTTTCCGTATCGCCTGATTAATTTCATTACACAAGTAATCACGCGGTTAATCTCGGTGATTTAGTAATGGCAAATGACCATTAATTTGATCATTTAAATTACCATTTGGGGTATTTACAGAGAAAAGAAAGTCATTCACTTAATGTAATTTACTTCATGGATTTCATTCAAAGGTCATTTAGATCGCTATTAAAAAATTGTACGCGTAATACATGATTATCATAAATCATACGATTATAATTTTTAACACGAATATACTATCTTTCCTTTAAAAAAGTTGACATAATTAATGTATTGCATCTATTCAACACAAAGAGTACATTTATTTTTATAAATCATATTACAAATATGGGCAAGCAACCACAAAATTTCCATATTTATATTGGTTGACCGCCAAAAAAAAAAAAAAAAAAACAGCCAATAAGCGAGCGGCTTGTAATTTTTGTATAAATGAATATAAATTTCCCGAGTAATTTCATTTGGCATCTTATTAAAATAAAATTTTTAAAAATTGTTTAGAAAACGAAAAAATTAAAATTTTATCACAAATTTTTCCAGATGAAAATAACAAAAACGAAAGTCAATATTAAAGTGAAAATATAAATTTAATTTAGATTAAAGTTTAATATTTCAATTTTATATTTTCAAAAATGATGATGAAGAGGAAGATAACTGTATATCACTGAAAATATATAATTATCAATTCCGTTTAGAATAACGCTACCTAAACTATAAAATATTTTGCAATAATAAATCCTCTTCAACAGTTTTATTCGTGTGAAACAATTTTACAAATTTGTTACAATTCGTCTATTGAAAATTTTCTGATACCCGAAATTGGCACGATCGAAATTTTAGCTATTTGTTGTAACTAAAAGAATTTAAATCTATAAAACCGATCAATTTTAAACGTAATGTCAATTTACAATACAATCTAAGGTCTTAATTTCTCAAGAAATTTAATACAAATATTCCTTTAAATTTTTCTTTCACCTAAAATCTGTGTAACAATTCTATCTTCCACATACAGTATTAAATATCTTTATATTCTGTAGAAAATAAAAACTTAAAAATTTCGGCGTTTAGCGCAATACCGACATTACCCAAAGTAATCTTAATAATTGAAGATGATTAATTGAAAAATGTCAATAATAAATACATCCACGTTAATTAGATTAGTATTCACGTATAATAATCTTAAACATGATATTGTTTTACATTGGCTTAGTAAATTTATGCACTTTATTAATTTAATAATTAAATTATAAAGGACAAATATTATATTTCATTATTTTTTTTAAAAAAAAGGCAACTTTGATTGATCCATAAATATAATTAAGGTTGCGGGGCAACACTCTTTGGATTCGACAGACCCCATCGACACTATAATAAAGCTATTAAAATTCCGTCATCATACCATGTAGGTGTTTGCTTTATAATTCAACAGGATATTAATTTTTGACTAGTCCAAATTAAGCATGTGTAAACAATTTCTGATTTGTTCAAAAGAATGATGATATTATCTATATATAGGAGGACGATTTACTGTACAAAAATTATTCTAAGAAAACGACTTTCATTTATGAATAAAAATGTCGGCACAATTTTTTTCAAAATTAAGTCAAAATTATATTGAAATATTAGATGATGATAAATATTATGATATTACAATTGAAGTTGGGAAAGACCCAAACGTGAAAATATTCCGTGCACACATGATTATATTGTGTTACCGTTCTCCATTTTTTCAACGAACTTTGACTAACAATCGAAAGAATAATGACGGCGCCTTAACTCACATCAAGTTGCCAAATATTTTATCGGATACCTTTCAAATTATTTTGAAGTAAGTTCTAACTAAAATATCATGTTTGTTGATTTTATATTTATAAAAGCCCTTAGATATTTATAATATTAGATATATCTATGGCGGAATCATTTCATTAGATGATTATGAATCATCGGACATTTTTGAAATTTTGATTGCGGCTAATGAGCTTCTTCTTCAAGAGCTAGTTGAACATTTACAAAATTATTTAATCAAGAACAAATCCGAATGGATAGAACAACATTTTGAACGAACTTATTCAAAAAGCCTTCAATCTAATTCTTTATCCGAACTTCAACAATTTTGTACAGAACTTATGACAAATTCACCCGAAAAAACATTTGGATCACTTGAATTTACCTCACTTTCTGAAAATGCATTAATTTCAATTATCAAAAGAGATGATTTACAAATGAAAGAGGTTGAGATTTGGGAACACACATTAAAATGGAGTCTTGAAAAAAATCCTACACTCATTTCAGATCCTAAAATTTGGTCAGATAATGATTTCAAAATAATGGAAAAAACTTTAAAACCTTGTTTACCCTTAATTAGATTCTTTAGTTTATCTTCTGAAGAATTCATTAAAAAAGTTCGTCCATATAAAAGACTTTTGAATTATCAACTTTATGAAGATTTATTAAATTCGTATTTTGATCCCGATAGTGAGCCAAGTGATGACATTTTACTTCCAAGATGTAGAAAGGTTGATGGAATTATTGATACATGGATTGTTAATTTAAATATCATTTCCATAATTTCAAGATGGATTGATAAAGTGGATATTAAAAGCAGATTTGCCTATACGAGAGAATTATATCTACCATATGTATTTAAATTATTACTAAGAGGAAGTCGTGATGGATTTACTCCAAAGAAATTTCATGAATTATGTGATGATATACTTTGTACAGTTACATTCATTAAAGTGAAGGGATCCGAAGAAATTCTTGGAGGATATAATCCTTCAATATGGA